ACTCAATTCACTTCAAAATGTGTGTTTTGAAAAATTCACTCTCAAAACCCGCATATTTTTCCCCGCACTCAAGTGCGATGCCTTCACATGTATCACTTGCAAGTTGAGCCGGCAGTCTAAACAACACAGTGTTTTGAACGTCTTTTAAATGTGTGAGTTTTAGCAAGACTTCACAACATCAAACATTTTTACCTGTGGGGAGGGATCTGCACTACCCCTGTAACAAAATCTGACGTCAGGTTCTCAGTGACGCCAATAAAATCTGCCACACAAAATTGAAAAATTATATAACTTCGCAAAAAAAAAGAAGAGAAAAGCTTCTGGTGACTTTTAAACTGAGTTAATAGTTCAGGGGTGTCTATCAATGTGTTGAACCAATTTGCAGACAAATCATTGATTATCAAAGTTTTACCGAAACAGGTACTCCATTCCGTGTAGCCTCTGGCTACACGGAGTATAGGTCATTGGCATCCTTTACTCGATCTTCTCAAAGGAATATACAACATTTGTTACCATGTTCTCAGTAAGGTACAGCCTCACAAATCCTTGCGATCTTTCTCTCGACGTCTACTAAGTTGTCCTCGTAAGCACCGGCTTCAGCTGGTTGTGGAAACTGTTAACTCTATGCTCGCGATACTCTTCCGCATAGCACAAAAAAAAAAAAAAGCATCCGACGCCCCGAGCGATTGGACATGTAGTCTATACACCTTTCCCACAAGGGCGCAGCCATCTTGAATGTCATCACTTCTGGTATGCGGTAAAGCATCGTTTTGATCTCTCCACGCCGCTGGAAGGTGTTTACGAAAAATGCCTGACCGTCACACATTCTTGTTTTCCCTCCCCTATACTTTCTCGCATATTCCAGCTTGAAAAGTTTTATTATTTTTTCGTCCCGCATACCAGATACCAACCCACGTAACTGAGAACGACAGAAAAAAAGAAAACGTCTATACAAAGTCTGCCCCTTGCACACAGGAATATTTTTTTGCATAATTTGAGGAGGTTCACCACTTCCAGCTTTAGGTCCTCTGCTAGTGTCAGGTTATTGGCATCTTCCCAATCATAAAATGTGTTATGTTCATTACAATCATAAATGATGAGCACAATCTTGCCCTAGCAACGTCACATACCTTCCAAGATGTTCCATAGAGTCCTCGTGTTTTTATTGTTTCGCTCACCTCTCGGAGAGAACCAAGAACATATAAATCGGAACTGTAAACGTAAACTTTATTCTCTACAATCGTTTCATTGTAGAAGGGTATGCACTTGGGCTAGTTGGTGATCCAACTTTGTGAGGGTAAAGGCGCTAAAAACAACGGACGAGTAAAAGAAACAAACAACACAGAGCGCTCTGTGTTGTTCGTTTCGTTTACTCGTCCGTTGTTTTTAGCGCTTTTACCCTCACAATCGTTTTATCATTCACGAGTAATACTTCTATAACTTATCTGATACTGAGGAACACTCCAAGTCTCCAAAATGGCTAAAACTAAAAAAGCTGCCTCCAGGTAGTGAGCCACCAGTACGGTTATCAACGCACCGGCAGCTATCTCGAAGCTTGAATCACATGCAGTGTTCGCGACGATGAGAACAGCACAAAAACAATGTAATCTTTCAACTCATAATCGGTACCACGAATCCGCGTATTCTAGCACCCCTGTCCAGTGACCAGTGTCACAAGTAGCATTATCCCTCAGTGACATTCGACGAAATGGAAGGAAAGTGCGTAGATAACGAACTTTTTAAAAAGACCATCAGAAGCGGCAAATTGGGTACTTTCAATGCTGCCACTACACTCTAATAAAAAAGTTGGCCTCAAGGAACTAACGGCAGCATTTGGTCCTCTGAACCCCCGTTGCTCCCCGAAAGGACCATCTGGTTCAAACTAGGTACCGTGTGCAAAAGCTGGGGAATGTGTTGACTCGACTTCACCCAACTATCTCGTCAAAAATGATCTGCTGACATTTCACAAGTCTCATTCACGCAATTTACCTTCCCGCAAAAAAATGAGCATTTATCCAAACTCAACACCTTCAAATACTAACACTTTTTTTCTTTCAAATGAAACTTAACAGTTTGTAGAAGCCGTGCTTTCAACACCGGAGTCTCGTAGTCAGAAAAATGGTCACTTCAATCGCTAAAACTGAGTTACAGAAACAAATCGAGCCTCGTCTCTGCGTCTCCCCGTGACAAACCTTCATGGGTAGTCCAATATCGAACTCAAAATCCGCAACGACACACTTGATGCACGGCACGTTCCACTCAAAAAGCACATTCAGGGGCAGTATAAACGCCTTCATGCCATCGTCGTTGCTGTTTCAGATAACATTCCAGATGAACAACGAAGAACGAACCGCGCTCTCAACGTCATCCATGGCAACACCCTGCTAATACAGAACAAATGCGAACTAAAAAAAAAGGCACCCGAGAAAATTGAAAACACATAAGAGAGAGAGAGAAAGAGAGAAAAGAAAAAAGAGGAAAAACGTGTTTGCTTGGACGTCACTCCACCGGCATGTTGAAAAATGGCGACCTTCTCCCGTTTTGGGGGCTGTGCTGTGTCCGTGTGTTGTCTGTAGTGGGAGGGGGTTGGGCAGATGGGGCAGACAGGGTCCGTCGGGAAAATGGCAAGAGGTCTTTGTTTGAAAAGCACCTGTTTTTAGTAAGTTGGAAGCTGAAATAGAGCCTTCGTGGGAAGCTGGTCGCCACTTTTCTCCTTGTGTCGTCTCTGATCATTGCGGGATCCGGTTTGGATTCGCGGTGCTGCAGCACTACACTTGATCTGTTGTGAAGTCACAAGTCAAGGGAACTCGGTTAAGGTATGTCGAAGTACTTCTGCTTATGGTGTATTCATTAACTGCCGCTTCAACAAGTGTTGTATTTTGAGCGCGTTCTCTAGCTTGCAAATCGCGCTTTCGCCGTATCGTAAACGTATAAATATCATACTCGGAAATATTTGAAATTTTCGACTACAACCCCGTTTCTGCCCCTGTACCCTCAAGCCAGCGGTAGGCACGTGATGAGCCTTTGTCAACGGCACTTTATTCTCCTTGAGAAGTGAGTTCAAATGGAACCTCGCCAAGCACCAAACACTCAGGAGGGTTCAATACTTATTACGGCAAACAGTCGCTTGATGGGAGCTTCAATGAACAAGGTATGGGACGAAGCCTAAAACAAGGAGCCGTTCAGACATCGCGCCAGCTGTAAATCAACTGAAAAGTCAGCATTTCTTGCCATGGAACTTGATGCGCACATATCCATGTAAAAATGAACATTTCGAATGATAGATTCTTGGAGTTATACAGGCATAAGAGCGTCTTGAAAAATCCGGGGGTCGCTGATGATATTCCAAAGATTTTACCTAGAGACCTCTAATAGACCGTTTTATCGTGAGTAGCGCCATTTTGAGAGCGAAAGAGAAGAGGGGAAAGGGCTACTGGCGATTTCCCCCTTGCTGGTGCGTTAGAAAGAGTGAAAGTTTCAGCCTAATACTAAATACATCACTGCCTATTTGGAATGGTATGAAGAATGTCTAAACGCTTTACTTTCCTTTGACATGACAACTCAGGCAGTCCAGACGCAACATACGTTATTATTTTTCACACGAATTATAAATAAACCTAAGAGGTTTTTAACCCTTTTTAACTGGCTATATACAATTGTGAATGAGGGTCCCATAAGTTGTCATCATATTCTAGTGAAGAGCGGGATAAATATTTATACGCCGTTCGCATCGACTTGACCACTATTATCCATTACTGTAGTACAGTTATGGACCGTGTGGAGAAGTTCTGTCAATTTCGAGCACCCTTTACGGAACCCCTGTTGTTAATTTATTATAAACACTGCAGATTCTGGAAAACGTGTGACGTGCTTGAAATATACATGTTCAAGAAGCTATACTACACGTACTCAACAACTAGACTCGTCTATAATCGCAAACACTTTTTCCCCCCACTCTGATATATATAGGCACCACTTTGGCTACTCTCCAATGTTGCCGCACCTAACCTCTCAGCCTCTCAGACCGAACTCACAAATTCAATACCCTCGTCAAAAAAAAAGGTTCTCGTGACTTTTAATTTGGGATAATAGTTCATGATGCGTTTATGAATACGTTGAACCAATTCTCATACAAATCATTGACTATCCAAGTTTCACCGAAGCAGGTACTCCGTTCTCCATATAGCCTCTTGCGCCCCTCCTTTACTCAATCTTCTCGAGGGGATATACAACCTCTGCCACCATGTCCTCAGTAAGGTGCATACGCCATTAGAAGTCCATGCGATCGTTCTCTCGACGTTTTCTAAGTTGTCCTCGTAAGTACCGGCTTCGGCCAGTTCTGCTAAGTGTAAACTCTAAGCGCCCGTATAAGCACGCAAAAAAAAAAAAAAAACGCTCGACGCTCCGAGCGATCGGACATGTAGACTGCACAACTTCAGTCCCTAGCACACCAGGAATATCTTTCTTTGCATGATTCGGAGAGGTTCACCGCTTCCAGTTGTGCATTCTCTGCGAGTCTACTGTTATTAGTACCTTCCCAGCCATGCTATTTGTTGATATGTAGGTTGAAATCATCAATGATGACCACGCTCTTGCATCGTCACATTCCTTCCAACATGTTCCATGGTGTCCTCGTGACTCTTCTGTTTCGCCCACTTCTCAGGGAGAAGCAAAAGTATGTAAATCGGAACTGTAAACGTAATATTTATTCCGTATAATCGTTTCATCATTAACGAGTAATTCTTGCATAGCTTATTTGCTATTTAGGAACACTAAGCTTAAAAGAAAAGCTAAAACGAAAAAGCTGCCTCCAAATAGCAAGCCACTAGTATGGTTATCAAAGCGCCGGCAGCAATCTCGAAGTTTGACGCACAGGCATTGTTGGCGGCGAGTAGAACAGCACGAGAAGAATGTAATCTTTCGACTCACAATCGGTATCAGGAATCCGGCTAACCTAGCATCCCTGTCCCGTGACCGGTGTCACGCGATGCATTGTCTCTCAGTCGCATTCGACGAAATCGAAGGCAGAATACGTAGCTATACGTAGATAACGCACTCTTTAAAAACACCGTCAGAAGCGGCAAATTGGGTATCTTGACTGCAGTCGCCATGCTTACACTACGGTCAATTATTTCGCCTCTGGCGCTAGCTCTTCTTTTTTCACTTGCAATCGGAAGCTCCATACCTAACTCCAAAGCTGAAGCAAGTGCCGACGCGAAGCTCTGGGCTCTTCTTGTGGCAGGTTCTAATTATTATTTCAACTATCGCCACCAGGCAGACATCTGTCACGCCTACCATGTTCTGCACAACCATGGCATTCCAGATGAACGTATCGTGGTTATGATGTACGACGACATCGCTCACGACCCATCCAATCCAACGCCCGGAATCCTCATCAACCACCTGAACGGCTCCAACGTTTACGAAGGAGTCCCGAAGGACTACACGGGAGACCTCGTCACTCCGAAGAACTTCTTGAGCATCCTGCAGGGGAAGAAAATCAAAGGAGGCAGCGGGAAGGTAATAGCAAGCGGTCCGAACGACCACGTGTTCGTCTACTTTGCTGATCATGGTGCTCCTGGACTAATCGCTTTCCCGAACGACGACCTTCACGCGACAGACCTCAGCCGCGTCATAAAACAGATGCACGAGCAGAAAAAGTTTGGAAAACTGGTCTTCTACGTCGAGGCTTGTGAGTCCGGGTCGATGTTCGAAAACCTCTTGCCAGACGACATCAACGTGTATGCGACGACGGCGGCCAACAGTGACGAATCATCTTACGCCTGTTATTGGGACGATTTCAGACAAACATATTTGGGAGATGTGTACAGCGTCAAATGGATGGAAGACTCGGATCGCGAGGACCTACACAAGGAAACCCTCCTGAAACAGTTCAAGATCGTCAGGTCTGAGACCAACACGAGCCACGTCATGGAATTCGGTGACTTGAAGATCGCCAACCTGAAGGTCAGTGAGTTCCAAGGCGCCAAGTCTCCTCCTCCCATTGTTTTGCCCGAAGCACCTTTGGATGCCGTCGACAGCAGGGATGTGCCCATTGCCATTGTTCGCAAGAAACTTCAGAAGGCGACGGACCCTCAGATCAAGCTTTCACTGAAACACGAGCTCGACCAAATGCTTCGAAACCGTGCTTTCCTGAAGGAAAAAATGGTGGAGCTCGTGTCGTTTGTGACGCTCGGTGACGCTGGTAAGACTGAGCAGTTGCTAAAGGCGAAGATTCCGCTGAGGGACCACACCTGCTACGAGCAAGCCGTGCGATACTTTGACGCCACGTGCTTCGAACTCTCTGCTAACCCTCACGCCCTCGCTCACTTGCGCGTGCTCGTCAACATGTGCGAAGAAAAAATTTCCGTTAGTGAGATTCGCGAAGCGATGGACAATGTCTGCACCCATCCAACAGTCGTCGGCATTGTCTAGTGTTGTACTTCTCGTTGGTTCAGCCTTTTCATTTTTCTAGGTCGATGTAACAAACTAATCAATACATTTACCCACACGCGCGAACTGTCCTTAATTTTATGCCTTTGCTCTGTTTTGGGAAATGCAAAGTAGGTGAGTTATTTAGAGTGTATACTGCTCTGAAAAAGTCAGCCTATAAACTCCGTTTTACTTTACGTTCGACCGCAGCCGACGCCAAAATTCGGTGGAGCCCATCAAGCAGCACCAGAAGATCAGCGCTGTGACTTCACATGTGACGTCACAGCGCTGATCGCGTGTCTGCGTTTGTTTGTTTGGTGTCACTGACCGAACCAATCACGCACAGGGAAAGCGCCACAATCCTGCAGCAAACACAGATTGCTTGCGTTCGCTCGTATACAGATTACTGGAACTCGCTATTCTTTTTCACCGGTCTTCCAACGCCAGCAAAAGGTGTTGCAGTGAGCAGACGAGCAATCGGCTAGGCGTTCCTTCGAACTGCGAAAGCTGAGATCGGCAAAACGTGCGTTTATGGCCGTACAGAACTATACTCCGTTTCACTTTAGAGAGTCTTAGGAAACCATTTTCGCACACTCGATATGGTACGATGGTACGAACTGCGAATATGAGAGTCTTCTATTTAATATTTTTTATTTATTTAATACTGCAACCTCATTGAGGTTTTCGGTTTCATGGCAGAAATAAAAGAAGCAAGAAGCCACATGGATAACTTACACCAAGAGCGTTATCGCGGTGCGATCGTGTGAGCTAGAAACGATAAGTTTCGGTTATGCATGCAGCCCACTCGGTGTACCCTGGCCGAAGAAAGGAAGTACGCGCAAGATAAGGAGATAACGATGATTAGTTTTAATGGTACTATAAGTGGTGTCAAAAAGTTTATGATATCCAAGAATGCATTTCTTGGATATTATAAACAGTTATTTGTAGGTTGCCAACAGCAGATCAACACGGACGAGTTTAACAGCTTACTTGAAGGAACACCACAGCTTACAGATGATAAAAAAGAGTGGTTGGAGAAACCAATTACGCTTGGAGAAATAGAACGGCAATAGATGGTTTGCCGCTTCATAAAACGCCAAGACTTGACGGGATAAGTGCAGAATTTTATCAAAAGTTCAAAGTTTTAGTATCCCCTTTTTTCTGGAAGTCATTCGCGTATGAATTTAAAGCATTACCACCCTTATTTCTGAAACCATATACTGCGCTTATAACAAAAGGAACTGATGTGAATGGCGGCAAGGCGCGTAAGCAAGTACCGATCGATCACTTTATGTAGCTTTATGATTATAACATTTTTGCACGGGTTTTAACTAAGAGACTCCGGCAAGTCACATGTAATTTAGTAGGTGAACACCAAACATGTGGTATACGGGGAAGTTGTATCCAAACAAACATACATTTCGCGCGAACAATTTTAGACACTTACCAACGAAGGAGGCCAAGTGGCGATGCTGCAGATAGATTTACAGAAGGCCTTTGATCGTGTGCGACACGAGGTTCTTTGGAAAGTGCTAGAACGCGCTAACATAGGGGGAGTTCTTTTGGAGAGAACACGCATGTCGTACACTGGGTGTGTTACACAATTAGTTATTAACAACTCTTTGACCCCTAAAATACCTGTATCTTCCTCCGTAAGACAAGGGTGTCCCATGTCACTGTTGTTGTCTGCGTTCTACTTGGAGCCCTTTTGTCTGAGCGTTATTCAATGTGAACAAGTACACGGTTTTAGAATGGACTCAGTCGAGAAAAAAGCGTTGTCTTACGCAGACGATGTTGCCGTGTTTTATAGTAACAAAAGAAGCGTAGAAGAGGTTTTAAAACTGACATGGTCATTTTGCGCCACCACGGCTGCGGTGGTCAACCTCGATCCGTATTCCGGCGTTTGGCACGGTACTTGGGCTGCAACACCAGCTTTGTACGAAGGTATTCGATGGGAGTGCACCCCGTGCAAGTACCTAGGAATCCCACTGCAGCGCCCGAGGAAAACGAAGCCTTACTGGGAAAATGTTGTCGAGGACACAAAGAAACGCGCAGCCTTATGGTGTAATCGTGATCTGTCTATTTTTACGCGAGCAACCGTCTGAAACATCTTTCTGACCGGGAAGATTTGGTATGTCCTACAGGTGCTATGCTGCCCCCGAATCTATATCCAGAAGGTGAACCGCGTGTTCGCACTGTTTATCTGAATGTCGTCAAGCGAGCGGATCTGTCGGGACAATCTGTTCCGTCGTGTGGCTAAGGGAGGGGTTGGACTGTCGCATATTTTCATTCGTCAAACTGTGCCACGGTTTCTTTTTTTGCGTGACCAGAGACAACACCTTTTACAAAAGATGTTTCAGACAAGGCTCGGATATGCCCGAACGTTCTTTTTTGTCGCGTCAGACTCGACGCCTCGAGCCAAACCCGTTGGGTTTACAAAGGAAGTTACAGAAGCCTTTTACCTTTTGGACGTAAGGTTTTCACGGGAATATTTATCAACAGTAACGCTTAAAAAGTTGACGCGCGACCTCCTTGAGGTGCTTTTCTCTGCTCCGTTTTATAGACTTCCTTATGTTTCGTGTCCGGGACAAGATGTTCTTATCCGTGTAAAGAAAATGTGCGTCCCGCCTTGTGTCAAAACCTTTTTCTTCCGTCTACATAGCGAAACGTTGCCGGTGAAGGTATTGATAGACGAGGCATTTACATCCCGTGGAGTGTAAATTGTCTAATTTTCAAACAACCTGAGACGATTGAACATGCTTTCTTGTACTGCTGGGATGCAGTGTTCTGGGACGTTTTGCAACGGACTTTGAAAAAGGATTTACAGGTCAAGCGTTTTTCAATTCGTTTCTTCCCGGTGGAGAACCGTGAAAGCGTACCCTAAGACATGTTTATGGAATTAAGATTGCATAGCCTTTGGGAGTCCCGTGTGGCGGTGTGCTACGCACAGCAGCACGCTAAGTCGGCCCGCCTGTGTTTTGTCGAACTCGTTGTGCAAATGAAGAGCGTTGTTGAACGTTTCGAAACCCCACCAGGCTGGGTTGACCTGTTAGAAGAGCTAACAGGAATGAAGGAATTTTAATGCTCTCAACGGCTTCAAGTCGGAGTACATGGGTTTTTAATATGTAATGTGTAACTTGTGAACAATAAAAAAAAAAAGGCTTAACGGGTATTGTGCCTGCCTCCCACGCGAAAAGCGAGGGTTCGATTCGTGGGAGCGACGTGTCTTTTGTTTATCCCTGCAATTTAGTGTTCTAGTAAATTTGAAAATCCTGGTGCTTGTTCAAGGTCCGAATGTTCTACGCGTCGAACTTTCTGCGCCGATTATTCCAGAAGCCCACGCGTGTACATAAGGGGCTTCGCGTAGCGCGCCAGAGTGAGTCTCGCCCCATCGTACGATCCTGCTGTAACGCTGCCATCGACGTCCGCGACGCTCTACAGTTATCTTCTGTTTCCTTTTTGTTTTGGGCACAAGTTCGTCCCATTTAACGTTTAGTTTATTCAGTTATTATTGCCTCATCAATTGTCATTCGTGACATTTGATAAACCAGTCACTCTTCTCGAAGGGATATTCAACCTTTGCTACCATGTCCTCTGTAAGGTACGGCCTCAAAAATGTTTGCGATTTTTCTTACGGCATCTTCTAAGTTCTCGTCGTAAGCACCGCCTTAGCCGGTTGAGCGAACTGTCTACTGTTTTCTTGCCATATTCTTTCGTATGGAAACGCAAAAAAAGAACCCAAAAAAAAAAAACACCCGACGCTTTAAGCGACCGGACATGTAGTCGGTGCAAACTCTGTTGCTTGTAGATCAGGAACATCTTTTTTTACATGATCCGTGGAAGTTCACCACTTCTAGCTTTTGGTCCTCTGCTAGTCTCCGGTTATTGGCATCTTCCCAACCATGAAATGTGTTGATATGTTCATTAAAATAATCAATGATGCGCACGTTCTTTTCCTTGCACCATCACATCCCTTCCAACATGTTCCATGGTGTCCTTGTGTTTCTTCTTTCTCGCTGATTTCTCGGAGAGTAACAAAAGTATATAAATCGAAACTGAAAACGTAATATTTATTCCGTATAATAGTTTTATCCTTAACGAGTCATTCTTTCATACGTTATTTGATATTTAGGAACACCCTAAACCTCTAAAATGGCTAAAACTAAAAAGCTGCCTTCATGTATGTGAGCCACTAGTACGGTTATCAACGCACTGGCAGCTATCTCGAAGCTTGATCACAGTCATTATTGGAGACGATAAGAACAGCACAAGAACAATGTAATCTTTCAACTTACGACCGGTATCAGGGATCCGGGTATTCTAGCATCCCTGTCCCGCGACCGGTGTTACAAGTAGCATTGTCTCTCATCGACATTGTACGAAATCGAAGGCAGAATACGTAGATAACTTTCTATTCTAAAAAGACCGTCGGAAATGAAAAATTGGGTGCTTTGACAGCAGTCACCATGCTGTCACTACGGTCAATTATTTTGCCTCTGGCGCTAGCTTTTCTTTTCTTAGCTTCAATCGGCTCCTCCATACCTATTTCCAAAGCCAAAGCAAGTGCCGACGCAAAGATCTCGGCCCTTCTTCTGGCAGGTTCTCATGGATATTACAACTATCGTCACTAGGCAGACATCTGTCACGCGTACCATGTTTCGCATAACCGGCATTCCAGATGAACGCATCGTGGTTATGATGTACGACGACATCGCTCACGACCCATCCAATCCAACGCCCGGAATCCTCATCAACCACCTGAACGGCTCCAACGTTTACGAAGGAGTCCCCAAGGACTACACGGGAGACCTCGTCACTCCGAAGAACTTCTTGAGCATCCTGCAGGGGAAGAAAATCAAAGGAGGCAGCGGGAAGGTAATCGCAAGCGGTCCGAACGATCACGTGTTCGTCTACGTTGATGGTCAAGGCGCCTATGAACTGATTGCTTTCCCGGACGACGAGCTTCACGCGACAGACCTGATCGGCGTCATAAAACTGATGCACGAGCAGGAAAAGTTTGGAAAACTGGTCTTCTACGTCGAGGCTTCTGAGTCCGGGTCGATGTTCGAAAAACTTTTGCCAGACGACATCAACGTG